GCAACCGGGCAATCCGTCCGACCACCACATAATTAAACCCATTATATGCCTCCTCTCTCACACACCACACACCTTTCCCTCCCTCTTCTTCCCATGTTCTCCAGACTGGAGATTGAAGTTGATGGGTCGATTCTCAAGACCACCATCGGCAAACACCTAACAGCCGGAAACCCTTCCACCACATATTTTTGAGTCGTCTCAAAAGTCGTCTCAAAAATCTTGAGACGTCTCAAAAACCAGACCTAACAGCCGGAAATCCTTTCGCCGCAGATTCCAACCCAGCGTGTGGTCCCTCCATTGTCCCTCCCAACCTCTCCCCCGTTTCCTTCCAGATTGTTGAGATGGAAGATGATGGGTCGATTCGCAAGACCACCATCGGCCCAGACCTAGCAGCCGGCCAATCCTTCCACCACGTCATCAAGCCACGTCTGCCTCCTCCCTTTCTTTGCCCATCCCTACCCCTTCCTCCCTTTCCTTCCAGATTGTTGAGATTGAAGATGATGGGTCGATTCGTAAGACCACCATTGGCCTAGACCTAGCAGCCGGCCAATCCTTTCATCACATCATCTTATCAAGCCCACCGTCTGCCTCCTCCCTTTCGTTTTCCCTCCCTGCCTCTCCCCCTTCCCTTCCAAATCGTGGAGATTGAAGATGATGGGTTGATTCGTAAGACCACCATCGGCCCAAACCTAGGAGCCGGCCAATCCTTCCTCCATATCATCAAGCCAACGTCTGCCTCCTCCCATTCCTTGTGTCCCCCTACCTCTTTCCCGTTTCCTTCCAGATTGTGGAGATTGAAGATGATGGGTCGATTCGCAAGACCGCCCTTGGCCCAGACCTAGCAGCCGGCCAATCCTTTCATCACATCATGAAGCCCAACGTCTGGTTCGGGGCGTTCCCCAGCCTTGATTTCGACGCTGCGCTGAAACGGACGGCTCGAGATGCGGGTTCAGCAGATACTCAGTACAGTTTGGTTGGATGCACTGTAGCTCCTGCTTTTGAGTTTGCAGATTTCGAGTTGGCTATTAGGGCGGATCTGGTGGCCAAGTTTCCCCATTTAGCTGATATTATTCATGTCTTGACCAGTCCATAGAGTACCACTATCATGTTCCACCATACTTAGAAAAAAAATGTGCGTACATATTGTATCATTTACAGTTCTACAGAATGTAAATATGTCAGCAAATTGTGTTTCCCTGAGTCCCTGACAGTAGCTGCTCCACGATATGCCTGTGAGAGAATGGTATATGGGTTGGGGGCAAGGGAATAGATACCGGTAGTAGATGACGCGGAAGGGAGGATGAGGGAGGACGAGGAACGTTGGGATGAGATAGCATCACTTCATGATTCCCTGAGAATTCTCAAAAAACATGCACTGCAACATGAGTCCCTGGCAGTAGCTGCTCCACGATATGCCTGTGAGGAAATGGTGTTAAGGGTGGGGGCAAGGGGTTGAAAGAAGGGAAGGGGAGAAAGAGGTTGAGAAGAGATGGCTCAAAGACTAGATGACTGCTGAAGAATGCTTGTGCGACAATGGTGAAGGCCTTAGTTGGCCGAAACGCGTTCGCACGCGACATTTGGGCCGAAACGCGTTCGCACGATTTCCCTCACTTTCAGATTAGTATCGGCAGACTTAGTTCTATAGATCGTTCTTTATCTCTTAGAAGGCTTGCAGCGGCTCGAAACCACCCGATTTTAACGGTGAAGGCTGGGAGATAACTTTCGAGGCAACTAAAAAGTCATCTCAAGTCTAGATGACTGTTAGAGACTTGATGCTTGTGCGGCGATGGTGACGGGTGGGTGTAACAGTAAGTGCATGAGAGTGGAATGCAGAGGACACAGAAAGGAGAAAGGGGAGAGTGGCTGCAAATCTTCATACCGCATCCCACCCATGCGATGCAAGTCAGCTGTCCGCATCCCACCCATGCAATGCAAGTCAGCTGTCCGCATCCCACCCATGCAATGCAAGTCAGCTGTCCGCATCCCACCCATGCAATGCTCACCTGTCTGCTATGCTCCGCCCCACCACCATCCCCTTGCCGCTCAGGAGCGCCAACCTTACTAACAGCACACCGTACTGCAAGCAAAACTTTACACCGCATTCCACCATGCCACGAGCCTTGGCTCACCTGTCCGCTATGCTCCTCCCCACCACCATCACCTTGCCGCTTAGAAACGCCAGCCTGTGTCCGCCTGACTGTGGCCGTGGCTGTGGTGCCCGCACCACAACCCTGTGTAGCACCAAACCTTACCACATGCCTAAATACCGCATTCCACCCATGCCATGTGCCTCGGCTCACCTGTCCGCTATGGGCCGCCCCACCACCATCTCCAGCCTGTGTCCGCCTGCCTGTGGCTGCGATGCCCACACGACACGACCGACCTCACTGGTGCTTGCACCACCAACAGCACACCGTACTGCAAGCAAACCTTTACACCGCATTCCACCATGCCACGAGCCTTGGCTCACCTGTCCGCTATGCTCCTCCCCACCACCATCCCCTTGCCACTGAGAAACGCCAGCCTGTGTGCGCCTGCTTGCAAGTGCGGCGCCCCCACCAACACCCTACGCTGATTGTCCCCCACAATCACTGTTGATACTGCGATCTTGCACTCTTGTTCAAGCATCACGTTTTTCTGCTCGCTTTCATGCTGTTGCTTGCTCTTCGTTTGCTTGCTCTCCGCCCTTTCCCCTGTTTCCACCAACAGCAGCAGTTCCAGCCCCCCTATGTCACCCATCCCTTCCTTCTCTGCTTGCTTCCCCAACCCTTCAGCGCTTTCAGCAGGAGCAGCAGCGCCACCAGCAGCAGGAGCGGAGGGTAGAGGGCAGACGTGTAGGCTGAGAATGGAGTGCGTGAGGCTATGCCATGCAGTCAGCAGCACACGACGACCCACATCCCTGCGATTGAATGGACGAAAGGGGTGAGGAAATTGAGGATGGGGCGTGGGTTTGGGTGGTTTGGGCTTCTGAGAATGGAGTGGGTGTGGCTGTGCCATGCAGTCAGCAGCACACGACGGCCCACATCCCTGTGAGTGGGGGAAGAGGGAGAGAAGCGTGGATGGGGTGTGGGCGTGTGTAGGGTGTGGTGTGTGTGAAGTTTGGGTGGTTATTGAAAGTCGAGTGCGTGAGGCTGTGCCATGCACTCAGCAGCACTTGGCGATCCACATCCCTGCAGGCGTATGAAGGGAGAGAGAGGAGTGAGGATGGGGTGTGTGTGTGAGTGGAGTGACTTTTGAGTCGACTCAAAAGTAACACTCACCGATAGCATGTGAGTGCTATCGGTGCTTCTGAGATTGGACTGTGGCTTGCCACGGACTCAGCAGCACACGGCTATCCACCCAGGCGGATGGGCCAAAGAGTGACCCTTGTTGACCCTTGACCCTTGTTGACTAGTGTTGACTCAGGTTGACTCACCAAAGAGCGATTGAGCCGCCATGAGAACACACCAGCACCCATCCAGTCCGGTGGGGCACAGCAGCCAGGGTGAGGAGATGACTCGGTGGAAGGGGCGGAATGTGACCCATTGACTCGTATTGACTCGTATTGACTTGTATTGACTCGTATTGACTCGTATTGACTCGTATTGTCTCTTATTGACTCGTATTGACTCTTATTGACTCGTATTGACTCGTATTGACTCGTCTTGACTCGTAGTGGATTGTTGACTCACCAGAGGGCAACTGAGCCACCGTGGGAGCACCCCAGCACCCATCCAGGGCGGTGCGGCACAGCAGCCAGGGAGATGACTCGGTGAAAAGGGTGGCTTTTGTAGCAGGCTGGGGGGAGGTGGTATCTGGACAGGTGCGACCTGAGAGATGGATGGGTGGTGGGCAAGGGGCAAGGCAGAACGCAGAGAAGACAACACATTCAACGTACAAGATTGGTGAGTCCTTGAAATTTCTCCGAAAAGCAACTGCGCACAGTCAACGAGACCTACTCTCACCCCCCCTCACTTCCCCAAACCTACCCGCACCTACTCTCACCCCCCCTCACTTCCCCAAACCTACCCGCACCTACTCTCTCTCCCTTTCACTTCCCCAAACCTACCCGCACCTACTCTCACCCCCCCTCACCTACCCTCACCTACTCTCACCTCGCTACTCACCTCCCATGCCTGTCCATCACCCAGCAACAAGCAGCACCACCATCCCCTGCTGCCACCACCACCCACTCTCCTCCTCCCTCCGTGCCTCGTCCTTCCCCCCCTCTTCCCTCCATGCCTCCTCCCTCCCTGCCCTTCTCTTCCACAACCCTCCCCATCTCCTTCTCCCCGCTCTTCTCCTCCCCCTCTCCCCTCCCACCCTCATGCCTCCCCCTCCTCACCACCACTACAGCCCACATCTGTGGGACCTTCAAAACAGGACTTGAGAGGCTTGAGAGGGAGGGGAACGGTGGGACGCAGGCAGAGAGAGCAGGGGAGGAACGGAGGGCAGCGGAAGAGGTGCTGGTGCATGCAGCTGCAGGAAACTTTTGAGTCGACTCAAAAGTCACTGCAGGAAACTCGAGAATATGGGATTGGAATCCAATCGTTCGTTTTCTTGATTTTCCCATTTCCAAGCCCAGCTCGACTACTGTCACACCACCAGATGCACTTTTCCGCCTGCCACTGCTGCTGCGGATGCTGCTGCATCTACGGCTGCCGCTGTTGTCATTCAATACAGCTGGTTCACTAGGCTTCGTCATAAGCTCGGACGGCGGGCAGAGAGTGAAGCAGTGAGAGAGGTAGAGGCAGGAGCCGCAGGGAGAGAAGGCCAAGGCTTGGCGCTCGGGGAAAGCCTGCGAGCATGGTGTGAAGGGGGTGGGGAGAGGGGGGCGGGGGGGAGGGGTGGTTACCGAGGCAGAGGCAGGAGCCGCAGGGAGAGAAGGCCAAGGCTTGGCGCTCGGGGAACACCTCCTACAGAATGGCGTGAAGGGAGAGAAAGCGAGGGGGAGTTGGGGGGTGGGGCGAATGGGGGTTGAAGGGTGCAAGTGTTGCGTTCCCAAGGAGTCGACCCAAGAGTCATCTCTTCCCACTCACCTCCCTCCGTGCCTCTTCAAGGTCGACCTTCACTCCAAAGCTGCCCACCAGCCCACCAGCCTGAACCATGGAGCCACACTGGGTGGAGATTCTCAACAGTGACTTGTGAGCTCACTGCGTTAGAGGCCATAATTTTCCTTCCACTCACCTCCCTCCGTGCCTCTTCAAGGTCGACCTTCACGCCAAAGCTGCCCACCAGTCTGAACCATGGAACCCCATGCCCTGCTGCTTCTTGACACGCTCCCAGCTCTTCCATCCCTGCCGCGTTTTCATCCGCACTTCCTCCTGCTGTCTCTTGTGGCCTTATCCCTCCCACACCACTCCCTGCCACGGCACTCCGCTCGCTGCTACACGTCGCTGCATACACCACAATCAGCCGCTCTTCCTCTCCCTCCTTCCCCAAACACACAGCGATGCACGCTCCTCCATTCACATGCGGCTTTTGAAATGCCTCCAGGCTCGAATGGAGCGCACCACCACCTGCACGTGCCTCTAAATGCACCTTTTCTGAGTGACCACTGGCAAAATAAGGACAATCTGAGTTGTTTCTCTGCTCAACCCACACGTGCACAGCCAGCACTGGCAGTGGATGGTGCACCTCTACACACTCGCCACCTGCCCTTCCCCCACAGTTTGAATGGCTGTTATCCTCCAGCTCTGGCAGTGGATGGTGCACCTCGATGTACACACCACCCGCGCCTCCCCCACACACTTCTTTCCCATCTTTCACAACTGCCCCATCTTTCACAACTGCCCCATCTTTCACAACTGCCCCATCTTTCACAACTGCCCCATCTTTCACAACTGCCCCATCTTTCACAACTGCCCCATCTTTCACAACTGCCCCATCTTTCACAACTGCCCCATCTTTCACAACTGCCCCATCTTTCCCACCTTCCATATCCACACGGCTTCCTCCTTCCTCTCTGCCCCACATATCACACCCCTCCTCTACAATTGCAGCACCCCCCCTTACACCCATCTTCACATCTTTCTCTCTCCCCTCCTCTCTCCCCTCCCCTCTCCCCGCATCTTTCTCCTCCTCTCTCCCCTCCTCTCTCCTATCCTCTCTCCCCTCCTCCATTCCCTTCACTACCCCCCTCACTCCTCCCTCCTCCCTTCCCTCCTCTCTCCCCTCCAATCTCTCTTCCTCTGGTATCTCCTCTCCTCTCTTCCCTTCTGGTAGCAGCACAGCTTCCTTTCCGCCCTCCTTTCCCTCCTCTTCCTCATCATCATTTCCCTCTTTTCTCTCCTCTCCCTCAACTGCCTTTCCCTCCTTTCCCCCACCCTCGGAGGAGAGCCCCCCCTCCTCCTCCCTTTGGGGGTGTGACAATGACGCTGGTGGCCTGTGATTGGACTCAGGTATAGCTGCAGGGAGTGACAAAGACGGAGGTGACAGTACTGGTGGCGCCTGATCCCCTTTGTCAAAATCTGCAGGCGGAAGCGGTGATGACTGAAACGAGGGTGACTCAGATAGAGCGGTACGGAGTGACAAAGATGGAGGTGACAGTACCGGTCGCGCCTGATCCCCTTTGTAAAAATCTGCAGGCGGAAGCGGTGGTGACTGAAACGAGGGTGACTCGGGTAGAGCGTTAGGGAGTGACAAAGACGGAGGTGACAGTACCGGTCGCGCCCGATCCCCTTGGCCAATTTCTGCAGGCGGTGACAACAGTTGGTGTGACAATAACGGTGGCTTGTGAGTGGAGCCAGAACGAGCAGGTGGGAGTGACAGCGGCAGGGGTGACAGTGCAAGGGGTGGTGATTGAAACGAAGGCGTGGAATGAGGGTTGCTCGTGACTAGCGCCAGAGGGGAGTAGCCTTTAGGTGTTATGTTCTTTTGCAAACTGCCTTTCGGTGTACTGCCTTTAGGAGTTCTGTCTTTTGGCAAGCTGCCTTTAACCGTGCTTTCTGCTGCTGCCGCTGCTGCTGCTGCTGCTGCTGCTCCTGCTCCTCCTCCTCCAACACCTGTTACTCGGGTTGAAGGCGAACCGGCTATCTTTGCACCAGCAGCGCCAGAGCTACTTGCTCTCGCACCCTTGCGGCGCTTGGGCTGAGGACTTTCCCTGCATTCGTTTCTGCTAGTAGCTGCTCCTGCTGCACCTCGTGTGCTCTCCTCTGTCCCTTTCACCTCAACTGTCCTCTTTTCAGTCTTCCCGGAATTGCCCCTCCGCCTTTTATTAAGCTTTGTCAGATGGGTTTCCGTAGGTTGAGAGTCGCTGGGAGGTTCAGCAGCAGGAGTTACTGCTAGGGGCATTTTAGTTGCTGGAGGTCCGTCAGTTGCTGGAGGTCCGTCAGTTGCTGCTGGCAATCCGTGAGTTGACTTTGCTGCATCCTCTTTTGCAGGACTGCTTTCCATTTGCCACGCTGACTCTGCTTCACCGCTCAGGTTGAAACCGTCCAAAAATGTCCTCATATCCACACCCCCCTTACTCTCACAACCCTCGCCTCCACCCTCCCCTTCACCATTATCACAGCCACCAGACTGACTCCCTTCTCCACCCTTCCCACCACGGAAAGAACTGCCAGCACCGTTGCACACCGAAGCACCTCGATTTCCACCACCAATATCCTCGCTAATAGCATCCTCGTCACTGTCTGGAACAACCTCGTTGCTGCGGCCACTGCCTGAATGCGGATTTGCTAGACTCGTAGGGGCCAAATTTGAAGATTCATTCACAGCAGCGGGTGACGTCTGAGACAACAGTCCAAGTGAAACCCTATCTGTCGGTCTCGATGCTCTAAGGAACCCTCCTGGTGTCATTTTGGCCTCCGGCGTGAGTGCTGTTGCTGCTGTCGCTGCTGCTGCTGCTGCTGCTGCTGCTGCTGCTGCTGTTGCTGATGTTGAAGCTGATGCTGGGGAAGACAACAACGGGGATGATGACAACTGTCGCATCCGTCTCAGGTCACCCACGGTGCGCGGTCTCCTTCTCGGAGTACTGTCACCTTGCAATACAGGAACACGGCCTGATTCTGTAAATGAAGGGACAGGAGAATTAGAAGCCTCAGTCTTTCGACTGCTCGGGCTATCGCACTGGTCCCTGCTCATAACGGGAAGATTGTGAGAAGTTACATCGCGGAATGGCAATCCCTCCTCGCCGACATTCGCGTCGCGTCTCAGCGAGTTTGACTTCGCATGGCCATTTGCTGACGGAGTTAGCGAGACGTCCAAACGGCCGTCAGGAGAAACAGGCGTTATCGGGGACGACGAGGCATTCCCTTGGGAACTACAACTCTTCTTCGCACGCTTTTGCCTCGGCTTACGCGTTTTCCACTCCATCGGGATTGAGGTGCTGGTGGATCGAGCGACAGACCGGGCCATGGCGGACGAAAGGCAATGCGAGCTCCCACTACCGTGATGGCCGTTCTCACTGGCGAAAAAAAACGGGTAACTTGCGATGGGCTACGCAGTGTATATAGCGAAGAACGGGCGAGACGAGACCATGGCGTAGCGGGTGCTATGAAAGCCCGTGAGGGAGGAAAGAGAGCATCCAGAAAATTCGTATCAGAATCACTTCATGGAACCGCGATCGAACCTACGTTGAAGAGTACTCGCACCATGACAGAGGAGGTTCTGGAAAGCTTCCAGGTTTATCAGGGAGGAAAATGGATTGGAGGATCTGAGGGATGAGGGGGAGGACCAGCAGCGTCGGAAAGAGTCAAGGTGACGCGACAATACCTAGAGTCAAGATGAAGCTGTGTACTACCACGGTACATTTCGGTGGAAGGTCGAGGAGGAGCATTTCGGTCCGGTTCGGCACCTAGCTCTTGCACGCTGGAATCGCCAGGTCCTCTTGGTGTTGTCGCGTTGAGAGTAGGAGGGAGTATTTGCTGGGAAACGCGATAACGCGTTCTCGGATATTGTCAGTAACGCATTTCTTGTGTTGCAAAGCCAGCATAAATTGATATATGTTGCTAACCACTCAATACCTTTCAGACCAACTCGGCCTTGCTAGTGCCCTTGTGTACGCTAATAAAGGAAACAATTGTGTGAGCTTCCACGATTTCAGTGTAACCACCAGAAAGGTAATTCACGCACACAGGTGACGGAAACGGGCCCTCAAGGAGTGCTTAGCATCTTGAAATACATAATTCATGCTCCTTGCACGTTAGGAGCATTAAGTTAGGTAGGTGTACATAATTCATGCTCCTAGCACGTTAGGAGCATTAAGTTAGGTAGGTGTGACTGAATGACGGACACTTCAAGCTGTGAGCAAATGCAAGCCGGAGGGAGTCCAGTGTGGAAGGCCCATTCACGGTACACCAACATTGTTTCACCAGCAAGAAGCAAGAACACTAATGTCCAGGAGATGAGATCTGACTGAACCAATAAACCGATGCAATGCCAGAAGCGTCATACGTTTCCAAGCCAAGTGCTTGATGCAGAAACAACGCTGCCTCGATGGAAATGACACAACAGATGGAGAAAGCCTATAACCATTTACAACTAAACAACGGTACGACAGAACCTCAGAAGTTCGAACGACCAGACGCTACTGTTGATCAGCGAGACACGAAGCCAAGCCTCCCGTGAAATCCGCTTCTTCAGTTCTTGAGAGCATTCTGCCTGGAGATGGGATTCATGACGACGGGAGGACCGGCCTCCCGCGGCCACGCGTCAAGAAGCTTGTCGCTAGCCTGGATCCACTCCCGCGTCATGGTCCGCGGAGTCTCTCCGCCGAACGGCTTCGCGCGAGCGGCAAGCCAGACGCCGTATGACAGCGCGAGAGCAGCGAAGATCGGCGGCCCGACCTTGCTAAAGGGCGCGACGGCCATAATGATGTGCTCGGGACGCTAGATGCGCTCTGAAGCGTGGTTCTGGAAGCTAGGGAATCTCGCAGGAACTTAGGGTTACAGGGCTCTCAAGCAGGCTGATTGTGAAGGAATGGTCCCTAGCAGCGAAAAGTTTCCAGCAAGACAAAACTGTGAATCACGGGGAACTCCGCCACGCTTGGCACCAGGCGCAGACCGGGTGCAGGGGGGACGAAAGCGGGGAGAGGAGAGCGGGGAGTCGGGGGAGGAGACCTGGTGGTCGGGGGGGTATGAGGGGACACGCTAGGCGGAGAAGTGTAAATTGGCCTGCGAATCCCGTGAAACCAGCTTGGGAACCAATCAGCAGCGTCCAAACGTTCTCTGAATCTCTAGAAAGTAGTTACCAGATTTCTGATTTCGGTTCGGTTAGAAACGCGACTGCTGAAAGTTGGTTCTTTTGGAAGCGAAGCGATGAGTGCGAAGTCATGCGATCATCGGCATTTCGCATAAGCTGTTGTTTCTTCAGTGAAGGAAAACAAGAGCGCCACAATTTCAATCCATTTTCCAATTCGCCCCACAAGCCATATTGACAGGTCATCTCAGTTTTCACCGTTACGAACCCGCTCTCCGCAAATTGCGCTCTCTGCGGCATTAACAGCGTCCGTAAAATTCGTAGGAACCCCAAAACTGCCTCGGCGACGTGGCCGCATGGCGTCCAGCGCGAGCGGAAGGCGACTGTCGACAGTCGTCCTTCCGAACCTTCCCCTCCGCCTGCGCTGCTCCTGCGCGATACGTGCGACCGCTTCGGTCCCTTTAGTTTCCGCGACGCTGCGAGGGTCGCCAGTCGCATCCCTGGATCGGAATTTTTCCGCAGGACCGGCAGGACCGGCGGGACCTCCGCGCCCGTCGTCGGACTATCCGTCGCGCCCGCCGCCGCCTGAAGCCAGTAAGCTCGGAACACTCTTCCTCCAGAACTCGCTCTTTGCGATCTCAGAATACGCGGCCGCATGCCCTGAATAGCGCGAGGCGGGGTTGTTACACGGCGGTCGCCGCCCGAAGCCAATACGATCGGAACACTCTTCCTCCAGAACACGCGCCCGCACGTTCTGTGGGATCTTAGAATACGCGCCCGCATTTTTCGTCCGGTGCGAGGCGCCGAAAAGATACTCTCTATAGTTTTGAGTCATACTGGCGTTATGCGGTAGCGGCCGCCGCCTGAAGCATGGCCAACTTGGGGGAGAGAAAGTGTGGCGTTATGCTTCAGGGGCACTTTCTCTCCCCCTTATCTGCCTATTCCGCTTCTCTCCCCCTTATCTGCCTATTCCGCTTCTCTCCCCCTTATCTGCCTATTCCGCTTCTCTCCCCCTTATCTGCCTATTCCGCTTCTCTCCCCCTTATCTGCCTATTCCGCTTCTCTCCCCCTTATCTGCCTATTCCGCTTCTCTCCCCCTTATCTGCCTATTCCGCTTCTCTCCCCCTTATCTGCCTATTCCGCTTCTCTCCCCCTTATCTGCCTATTCCGCTTCTCTCCCCCTTATCTGCCTATTCCGCTTCTCTCCCCCTTATCTGCCTATTCCGCTTCTCTCCCCCTTATCTGCCTATTCCGCTTCTCTCCCCCTTATCTGCCTATTCCGCTTCTCTCCCCCTTATCTGCCTATTCCTCTTCTCTTCCCCACCGCATCACCAACCTCCCTCAGTCTCTCTCATTATCCTTCGCCCTGTTCCCGTAATCAAGCTCTGAGGCTACAACACGTCCCTACCCACTAGGTCATGACGGGGTTTATATTTGACGCGCAGCGCACATGCCTTTCAACCTTTCGTGGTTTTTGAGGCACCTCAGAAAGCCGCGTCGCTATCCACTGGGGTCAAAACGGGGTTTATATCTGAGGCGCAGCGGATGCCTTTCAACCTTAAGTGTAACGCACGCATGTGTTACAAACCTTGAGGCGATTTTGAGGCAGAAAGTGGAGCCCAACAATTTCTACAAATCATCAAGCCAAGCCAGCCGGTACCAACCCATACCCCTTCCCCTTCCCCCTCCCCCTTCCCTTCCCCTTCCCCTTCCCCTTCCCCTTCCCCTTCCCCTTCCCCTTCCCCTTCCCCTTCCCCTTCCCCTTCCCCTTCCCCTTCCCCTTTCCCTTCCCCCCTTTCTCTTCCCCCCTTCCCCTTCCCCCCTTCCCCCCTTCCCCTTCCCTCCTTCCTCTCTCCCGTTTTCCTTCCCCCCTTCCCCCTTTCCCCCTGCCCCTTCACCATACCTTCCCCCCCTCTCCCAGTGTCCATCATTGAGTCAGGCCAACCGGTACCAAGAAAGGGGGGAAGGGCGGAGGAGGGCGGAAGCAGGGAGGGGAATGAAGGGCAATGGGCGCTCATTCCCTTATCCCTCCTTCCCTTGCTCTCTTTCCTCCTTCCCTCACTGTCTCCCCTTCCCTCTTTCGCTGTCCCCCAGTGCCCATCATTGAGCCAGGCCAACCGGTACTAGGAGAGGGGGGAAGGGTGGAGGAGGGCGGAAGCAGGGAGGGGAATGAAGGGGAATGGGAGCTCATTCCCTTATCCCTCCTTCCCTTGCTCTCTTTCCTCCTTCCCTCACTGTCTCCCCTTCCCTCTTTCGCTGTCCCCCAGTGCCCATCATTGAGCCAGGCCAGCCTGTTCCCAGACACTGGGGGAGGGAGGAGGAGGGCGGGAGCAGGGAGGGGGGTGAGGGGGGATATTGCGGGATCCAGCGCGAATGCAGGTGTTTGGGGCGATAAGGGAGCACCGGATTGACACTGTGGGTAGAGAGAAGGCGAGCTGGGGTGAAACACGTTGGGAGTTTACGTGTGAACCTGCATGGGGCGCAGGGCAAATGCAGGTGGTGTTTGGGGCGATAAGGGAGCACCGAATTGACACAGTGGGGCGAGAAAAGGTGGCAAACGCAAGATTGGAAATGCGGGTTTTGCAGTTGGAGAGTAGAACAGGAGCGCTTCGAGGCGGAGTCGAGATCTGCCTTTGCCAGAAGCATCTGGAGGACATGTGAGGAATCGGGGAGACGAGATGGAGGACATGGAGCGAAACAACTGGGCTGTTTCTATCGACGGTCGTTCAATCATAGGGACAACGAAAGGTGGGATCATGCGCAATGTAGCACTAGCCTGAACCCAGGCCCCGCTCGCAAGCCTGTAAAGCTCCCTGAGCATCTGAGGAGATTGAGGAGGAACTCAACCAGTGGAGGGCGCAGTTTCACTGTGTCGTCGGCCCAGTCACAGCTCTCGACACAGTGAAACTGCGCCCTCCACTGGTTGAGTTCCTCCTCGATCTCCTTCGTCCTGAGATGCTCAGGGAGCTCTCTACAGGCTTGCAAGCAGGGCCTGGGTTCAGTCTAGTGCTACGCTGCGGATGATCCCACCTCTCGTTCTCTTTGCGCATTGAACGGCCTTCGGTAGAAGCAGCCAAGTTGTTCCGCTCCAAGTCCTCCATCTCGTCCCCCCGATCCCACCCATCTCCTCCAGATGCTTCTGGCAAAGGCAGATCCCGGCACCGCTTCGAAGCGCTCCTGTACTCCTCTCCAACTGCAAAACCCGCATTTCCAATCTTGTGCTTGCCAACACTCCTCTCCCCTGCTGCCAACACTCTGTGTTTCCCCCCTCCCCTTTCTTTCCTCCCTCTCCTTCTTCCCTCTCCCTTCCCCCTAGTGCCCATCATTGTGCCAGTCCAGCCAGTACTGGCACAGGGGGGGAGGGGAGGGCAGCAAGGGCGAGCCGACGCAGGGAAGGGGGATGAGGGGGCAATGGGCGCACATCTCTCCCTCGCTCATGGCGGCCCTCTTTTCTCGTGTCTTATCCCCCCGTTCCCCCTTCCCCCCAGTCCCCATCATTGAATCGGGCGATCCTGTACCGGCACAGGAGGGAGGGCAACAGGGGAGGAGAGTGGAAGCAAGGAGGGGGATGAAGGGGGAATGGGTGCACATCTCTCCCTCACTCAAGCCGGCCCTCTTCCTCTCGTGTCTCATCCCCCCGGTTCTCCCCCCCCCCTCTCCCCCCCCCTCTTCCCCCCCAGTGCCCATCATAGAGCCAGGCGATCCTGTACCTGCACCGGGGGGAAAGGGAGCAGGGGAGATCGATGGGTGATTACGGAAACGTCTCAATTTTCTGTTTTCCACTCACGCCTCCCTTTCCTATCATCCCCTCCCCCCCCACATTTCCTCCAGTGCCCATCATAGAGCCAGGCGATCCTGTGCCTGCACAGGGTGAAAAGGCAGCAGGGGAGGGGGACGAAGGTGCATGGGTGCGGGACCAAGGGCGAATGCAGCAGGTGTTTGCGGCGATTAGGGAGCACCGAATCGACACCGTGGGGAGAGAAAAGGTGGGTTGGTTGGTTTGACAGACAAGGCAAATGATGCAGAATGGGTGCAGGCAGGCAGGTTGAGGGGGATAGGACCCAGGGCGCATGCAGGAGGTGTTTGCGGCGATAAGGGCGATAAGGGCGATAAGGGCGATAAGGGAGCACCAAATTGAGACAGTGGGGAGAGGGCAGGTGGGTGTATGTGGGTGCAGAGGGGTGCAGTTGAATGTAGGTGGGTGCAAATGAGTTGAGGGGAATATTGCGGGACCCAAGGCGAATGCAGGAGGTGTTCGGGGCGATAAGGGCGATAAGGGCGATAAGGGCGATAAGGTCGATAAGGGCGATAAGGTCGATAAGGGCGATAAGGGCGATAAGGGCGATAAGGTCGATAAGGGCGATAAGGGCGATAAGGTCGATAAGGGCGATAAGGGCGATAAGGGCGATAAGGGCGATAAGGGCGATAAGGTCGATAAGGGCGATAAGGGCGATAAGGGCGATAAGGTCGATAAGGGCGATAAGGTCGATAAGGGCGATAAGGGCGATAAGGTCGATAAGGGCGATAAGGGCGATAAGGTCGATAAGGGCGATAAGGGCGATAAGGGATCACCAGGCTGACACCGTGGGAGAGAGAAAAGGTGGGTCGCAATGTCTTGGAACACTGCACGAGGGTTGGATGGAAAGGTGAGGCAGGGTGGGTGCAGGTGTGTGCAAGTGGGTGCAAGTGGGTGCAAGTGGGTGCAAGTGGGTGTAGGTGGATGCATGTGGGTTGAAACTCCGTGTCCTCCGAACTCCCCTCCTGCAGACTAGGCTGGGCTCTCAAGGCGACAGATAAGTCCTCATCGGGGGGAGTCACTCTACTTCAGCTGAAGCGCCTGCTTTCTTTGCTTGCACGAAGCGGTGCTGTGCTAGCAACAGTTGCTGCCCCTCACACTCTTCTCATCTCTCTCTTCTCTTCTCTTCTCTTCTCTTCTCTTCTCTTCTCTTCTCTTCTCTTCTCTTCTCTTCTCTTCTCTTCTCTTCTCTTCTCTTCTCTTCTCTTCTCTTCTCTCTCTTCTCTTCTCTTCTCTCTCTTCTCTCTCTTCTCTCTTCTCTTCTCTTCTCTTCTTTCTCTCTTCTCTTCTCTTCTCTTCTCTTCTCTTCTCTTCTCTTCTCTTCTCTTCTCTTCTCTTCTCTTCTCTTCTTTTTCTCTTCTCTTCTTTTTTCTTCTCTTCTCTTTTCTTCTCTTCTCTTCTCTTCTCCTCTTCTCTTCTCTTCTCCTCCACACTTCCCTCCCCGCACCCCCATCCTGCAGGCTAGAGGGGCCGATCGAGGCGACAGGTCCCCATCAGGGGGAGTCACGCTGCTTCAGCTGAAGGAGTTGCTTGCTCTGCATGCTCAAAGCACTGCTTCTGCCCCTCCTGCTTCTTCTGCTGAGACTGCTCCTGCGACTGCTGCTGCTGCTGCTGCCATCGCGAGTGGCAGTAGCGCGTCTAGCCCTGTAATTGCCGGGGTTGACTCCCTAGCTACCCAGTTCTCTGTTGATGCTTCGCTATTGGCCAAGGTTCTTGCACATGTGCGCATGCCCGTGCCTGAAGCATGATGGAATTGGACTGATACCATATGGTATTACCGTACAACACTACCATGAAAAATGGCATGAAATTTGGCGTGTGAGTGGTTTCTGCTTGTAGCGTTGCTGCGGCTTTTGTTTCCACTGTGCATGCATGTCCAATTCTCCTGAGGAATGATGTGATGTTAGTGATAGCATGTGATGTGAGTGATAGCATGTGATGTGAGTGATAGCATGTGATGTGAGTGATAGCATGTGATGTGACAATGCAGCATGCCAGTGCTAGCCTTGTTAAGGGTTCATGCATGCTGCTGTTGCTCGATTTTTTAGTCGACTCAAAAATCGACTCATCACACATCGTCTCATCACACGCGACTAAAAAATCGACTCAATGCAGCATGCCAGTGCTAGCCGTGTTAAGGGTTCATGCATGCTGCTGTTCTATGGGCTTGTGTCCTTGTGTGTGTGTGCCCATGCCTGTGTGTGCATCCCCATGCCTATGTGTTGATGCCCATGCCTGTGTGTGCATCCCCATGCCTATGTGTTGATGCCCATGCCTGTGTGTGCATCCCCATGCCTGTGTGTGCATCCCCATGCACCGCGTGTGCTGTGCATGCCGATTCCAGTGTGTGCATGCCCATACTCGTGTGTGTGTGCCCATATGTGTGTGCATGCCCATATGTGTGTGCATGCCCATATGTGTGTGTGCATGCCCATATATGTGTGTGTCCATGTCCAGAAGTGTGTGTGTGTGTGCATGCCCATGTGTGTGTGTGTGCATGCCCATATGTGTGTATTTGTGCCCATATGTGTGTGTGTGTGTGTGTGTGTGTGTGTGTGTGTGTGTGTGTGTGTGTGTGTGTGTGTGTGTGTGTGTGTGTGTGTGTGTGTGTGTGTGTGTGTGTGTGCGCCAAAGTGTGTGTACGAGCCCATGTGTGTGTGTGTGCGTGCCCATACTCGTGTGTGCATGCCCATGCCCGTATATGCCCGTGCCTGTGCGTCCACACCCGTTCCTGAGTGTGACATTATGTTGTCGGACGCCTAAGGGTATGTGACGTGTGCACGTGCGGAACGGCAGAGTTGACATTGCATAATGGCCCTTTTTTTTGTTATTGTGATGATGCAACATCTGTTGAAGGCTTATTTTTCAAGTGCAGTACGCACATACGAACTAGCTGTGAAGTTTAGACAGGCAGCTTTTTCTCACATACTTTTTAATTCATAATATATAGGGGACGGCTTATCTGTGCACACATCTGGCTCAGCATCACTGCCGCACCATCACCACTTCCTGCTCATAAAAAATGTATACTGTATATTACGTGGTTGCAGCTGGCTGGAGGTCATTCGGGAATCAGGAGAAACCAGCTGTGTACCCAAACGGACAAGTCTTGTGGTGCGGGGGGCAATTGTGACCCAAGTTCACACAAATCTGCATGGTTGGGATGAGCAGAACGGGTTAGAGGGTGTCTCAATGTGACTGGTCCGCGCGGACCTGGTCCGTAGCTTAAATTTGCTCCCTGGTCCGAAGTCTGGTCCGACGGACCCTTCTGGCAGACCAGCCGTGGACCAGAAGCGGACTGGTCTGCTTGATGTGTTGCTACAGTCGCTGCGAATTTCAGTAGTGACGACGAAACAATTATTTACTGAAATCGAGTTACCCTTGTTCATGTGCCCGTTTGAAGCTTCCCGAACAATCTTGTGCGAAAAGCACGAGAGTTAGAGAATTCGCAAAGAGATGTTCGTGAGATTACTGTTTACGGACCAGGGGCGGACTGGTCCGGCGAACAGATCGAAGGCACCGTTTTAGTGCCATTCGAACGCTATAACGGGAACTCAAGCCCGAACCCTGGTCCAGTCCGTTGCTGGCTCACGCGCTGGTTCTCGAGCTGGTCCGTCGGGTCCGCGTCGGACCCGCGTGGACTTGCTCGTTTGAGACACGTCCTTACTGTATCCGCTGCTTGCGGACCAGGAAAAAATTTGGCTCAGCAGCACCACAGAAATTCGGGGGTTAGGTGGGGCTATGGGAGGGATGAGTTGCAATTCTTCACAGCGTTTGCAACTGGGATGAGATCGTCAGCATGTGTGCAGCATTTCTGTCCTAATCTTCGTTAGAGGCCAAGCCTGGCGAATGGAGCAGGCGATTCACATTGGATTCTGTAAGCTTCGCTTGCCCTTCTCATCTCACTCCACCCTTCCCCAAACCACACACTCCCCTAACCCCACCCACCAAACCAAACCCCTCTCCTCCCACGCAGATAGGTTCTTCGCTGAAACCGTCGTCGTGAAATCTGTGTCAAATACCTAGCCCGCGGTAAATTCACCGGCGGTATCTTCACCGCCCGGGGGTACTTTTCAGCGGTCAGGTTAGTTCATGAAGGTAGTTTTGGATTCAGAGGGGGTAGAATGATGCATACCCTTTACCAGATGAGGAAGGTCGAAACTTGTTAAAAGCCCATCTGGCATATCTCTCGGATCACTAAGTACGAGTGCATTCGACAGAAATGCATCCCGGATGTCTACTGTTAGTCCCGAAGTCTCTTGGTAGCCGTTTCATTAGACGGAAATGCACGAGGGACTGGAAGAAAAAAGTTCAGGCGATGAAGATACCGCGCGCGTTCGGAAGACATCAGCTCGTCATTCACCACACCAGGCATTTTCCGAGCCCACCTCAGTTTCCCAAAGCCCACGCTCGGGTCTTTCGAGCCGAAATTTGCCGGAGGTTCCCGTAAATACGCCCTCACCACCCCATAGGGACCAGCTTTTGCTGCTTCAAACCTAGCCTGCGTAGACAAGACACCCCCTTCTGGTTGCACTAGTCGTAACTTTTGCAACTCGGTTGTTCCCATCCCTCTCCTTCCAGCGTGGCTCCTCGGTTACCGCGAGGCCATGATGCTTTCGCAAGGCAGCTTAGTTCCGATCGCGATTGCCACCCAAATCTGCATGTCGGTACTCTAAGCCTTACACGTGTGCTTCAACCATGGGCATTCGTATCGAATCCGTTTTCTCCTCAAGCCACAACATAGTGCACTGTACATGTCATTCCGCAGAAGGCGGAATCAGGACAGACGATATGCGTGGATCATGGAAAGGTTAGTGGGAGTTTGGGATCATTAGCGAGGGGAATCACTCTCTCCTCGCAGCCGCCGCATACGTTTCAGCAGTGTCAAAATGCGAGGGGAGTTTATGAGCTCTCTGTCGCTGGGTGCGAGGTTAGGTGACTCGAAATCCATGGATTTTATTTTCGCAAGAGGTCTGTTTTGGTTCATAGCTCCGGGCTGCGAGGCATACAGCTGTGTACAACTGCGCGTAAATTTCCAGCCTGGAATAGGCTATCATTGGCGAAACTTATCATCTTCCCACCTTTCCTCCTTTCGCGGCGGTACTACCGGAAGTTGCGGCAAGCTGAGTCACTGTAGTACGCTAGTGGCCATTCTGATCTATACGCAGCTTCGCACGTATCATCCATACATTATGTGTGGATCACCACGAGTTCCCAACGCAGCTCCCGTCGCTCGCACCTTTTAAGATCTATTTCTGCATCAAGGGAGTCTCAGTAATCCGAGTAACAGTTGGCAAATTTTTTCCTCACAGCTCAGCTCAGCTGTTTGAAGTGCTTACTTAGGCGTGGTTCCTTGTTGTCGAACAACGCTCTCGCATTTAGTTCGCCTGAATACGAAAATATTTTCTAGAGAAAAGCCTTACTATCTACCTGCGGCATCAGCAAACTTGCTACATTGATTTGGTGATTGGCACATCAGAGCTATCATGGATCCCGGAGCAACCGCAAATGCTGAGAAATCCCGGTTTTCCAACGTGAATCGCCGTCTTGAGGCGTGGAACCGTGCAACGAGCTCACTCAATCCCGCCGTTCAGCCGTCATTCCGCGTGTCGCCCCGGCTCGACTTACCAAAATCGAAGTGCGAAGCCGTCTCCAATGCCAATAACCTGAGAAATTTGGGTAGATCACGGCAAGTTTCCACAGCGTCGCCGCCAAGCAGCACAGACTCCAACTTGGATCGACCTCCTTACCTCCCTGGCAGAAAGTCACTTCCTGACTTTGCAGCTGCTCAGCAGTCTGGTATAAGGGACCCTTGGTCTCCCTGCTCCCCTCTGGACCAATGTGCTACCCCAAACCCCTCTTCGGAGTGCTCTCCGGTCGCTGCTCCTGCTCCTGCTCCTTTTTCTGATGTGGCTAAAGTGCAACACAGCCGTCAGGAGCAGGAGCCAAGCTGTTGCTTGGCGGAGGGAGGCGCGCCGACCTGTGGGATTGACACGCGAGACACAACCAATGGTGCATCTAACGAGAAGGGTGAGAGGTGTTCCGAAGCAGCTTCTCAGAGAAGAGTCGGTGACGCGGACGGGGAAGCCACAAGCGAGCAGATCCAAATGCTGAGGAAGCAGGGAAATATTGCCCACAGACGTGGATTTTCTGTTACCAGCCTCGAGAATTCCACAGAAACAAGAGGAGCAGACACTAAAGTCACGAGGAGAGGCGGAAGCGGCGGTGACATTGAGAGCATAATGAGAAGGGGGAGCAGCTGTTTTTCCAGGGGATCATGCGGCTGCGTGGAAGGGGGGAGTGGTGGAAGCAGCCCTGTGGTTTCTCCATGGTGTAAAATTATGTCCACAGCTCCTCCTGTGTTTGTGTGGGCTGCTAGGAGGAGGATGGAGAGGAGGGCCTCACAAAGTGATGCTGTGATTGGATGCACATCTTGTATGTAACACTCATAGATATTATGCTACTAAAATACTGGGATGAACTATATCTATAAGATGGCATAATATGGATAACATGCACCGTATCATCAAATGCAGAAACAATTATTATACACAAACAATTGTTATTACACGATGTATATACACGAACAATGATTTCTTTCCATGTTCCCCGTCTCAACAATTCTTGCTTGCATTTTTCCATCATCCTATGCATGTACCTTTCGTCATTGTCACGTCAGTCAGATTCATCCGCTGCTATGTCGTCGGAGATGGAACTCACGCCACTTCCCATTCAAGAATCAGGATCCCGCACACTGAAACCAGCAAATTATACGGTTCAGTTCGGTGCCTGGAAGTTGGCCGATGATCCGTCAGGCGGACCAGTCGTAAATCCTCAGGACCGTGGTAAAGCGCTCTAAAATCCTTTTGTTTTGGTTTTTTCACACTCACTCTGCCTACCTGTTTCCCCCACTCAAAGCGAGTGTCCGAGGAATCATTCCCTTCTGCTCGTACATGATATCTGAGATTGTCAGCGCTTAGGAGGCCGGTTATGCGTTTCCGTTTTGTTTCGTGCTTGAGCTGTAGCTCTTGCGGCCGTTTGCGTTACCTGCGTGACTACTGTAATAGTCTAAACGCCGACCAAGATTTCCCTTCTGTTGTCTCGTGGTGCTGTTTTCACACAGCCCGTCGAATGAGACGACTGTAAATCCCTTGGTTCGACTAGTTCTTCTGTAAGCGGAATTCTTTATCGGAAATTCGTAAACCGATTCTTTGATAGCAGATACGTACACGGAATTATTGGTAGCAGATTTGTACACGGAAGATTCGATAACAGATTCGTGCACGGAGTTCTTGACATAGCCATGACCAGATCTATCGCCACAGCGGCGGCGAGGCTCGCGCGACGCGGCGCATCCGTTATAAGGAGCTCTCATCATCAGCAGCATCTTCAGCCCTCGTTACAATCACACCTTGCTTCACATCCGCCTCGATACAATCACACCCCGACGAGCCCCGCATCGCTGGCGCCGCTGCTCTCTCTGCGGTCGCGATTGTTCTCCGCCGATGCGCAGAACGCTCCTTCGCAGAGTGCTGAAATCGAGCGCTCTTCTAGCGAAAGTGCTGCAGTGAAGACTGCTTTCGCGCAGAAGGCACCTTCCCCGGAAACGGACGCGCCGATTACGCTGGATGTGAAGGGAGTGGAGATGAGAGGACGGCCGCTGTACCTCGATATGCAGGTGTGTATGACGGGAGGGACGTATAACTAGGTAATATGATGATCACGCTGGATGTGAAGTGAGTAGAGATGGAGGCTGTACCTTGATATTCAGGTGCGTGTAACGGGCGGTGCCTGAGGTGTTTTTGGATCTGTGTGAAACGAGGCGGAGTCTTTGCTGGTACTCGGGACACGTTGAGCCTCACGGCCCGTATTTCCAGGCGGGAATAGCTTGGTTGAGTGGGAGTGGAACCCTTTTGAGTGATTCAAGAGTCCCCTGAACAATTGGAGAGGCATTGCGGGTTTTAGGACGAGTGGAGCTTCACAGCCCATTGAAGCAAGCGGGGATAGCTCAGTTGGGAGAGCGTCAGACTGAAGATCTGAAGGTCGCGTGTTCGATCCACGCTCACCGCAGTTTTCTTGCTCATTGCATCTTAAACACTGAACTTGCCTCATGCCTCTTCTCCCCTTGCACCCGATGATTATCTCACATTTCTCGCCTGCGTGTTTTTCTGTTGCCTTTCCTCTCCCTATTTCCTTTCTTCGTTTATCTCCTTGCATTTCTTGTGTTTCTTCGTTTATCTCCTTGCATTTCTTGTGTTTCTTCGTTTATCTCCTTGCACTTTTTGTGTTGCCTTCCTGCCTCTCCTCCCTCCCCGCCCCCGTTCCTCCCTCCTCCCCCCTTCCCACTCTCCTCCCGGGCCTCACACTTGTACAGGTGGGAGAGCGAAGGAGCCACTCCTTCCCACACTTGTACCGTCTTACCTGTCTCTCACTGCTTCTCCCCTGCTTCTCCCTCTCTTCCCCCCGTCCCCCAGGCCACCTCCCCGGTAGATTCGCGGGTCCTAGACGCCATGCTGCCGTTTTTCACGGAGCAGTACGGCAATCCGCACTCGCGCACGCACCTGTACTCGCTTCCCTTCCCCTCTCCCCCCTTCGCTTCCAGGCCACCTCCCCGGTAGATCCGCGGGTCCTAGACGCCATGCTGCCGTTTTTCACGGAGCAGTATGGCAATCCGCACTCGCGCACGCACCCCCACATCTTGTCTCCCCCCCTCCCCCAGGCCACCTCCCCCGTGGATCCGCGGGTGTTAGACGCCATGCTGCCGTTTTTCACGGAGCAGTACGGCAATCCGCACTCGCGCACGCACCTGTACGGGTGGGAGAGCGAGGGGGCAGTGGAGGCAGCACGGCAGCAGGTGGCGTCTCTCATCGGCGCGAGTCCTAAAGAAATTATATTCACTTCAGGGGCAACTGAGTCGAACAACATTGCCATCAAGGGCGTGGCGCACTTCTACAAGTGAGTGGGTGATTGTTGTTATGGTAACCAGCAGTGACCAGTGGTTACAACTGTGTGTGCCTGCAAGGAGGCATCGCTAATCGGTGCCAGCCCCATGGAGATCATCTTCACCTGTTGCTCTTTCCCCCTCCTCTGCTCCCGCTTCCATTCTTGCCTCTCTCTATACTCTCCTTCCTGCTCCCCTCCCGCTGTGACTTTTGAGTCGACTCAAAAGTCACAAAAGTCACCTCTTTTGAGTCGACTCAAAAGTCACAAAAGTCACCTCTTTTGAGTCGACTCAAAGGTCAAAGTCAAAAGTCACCTTTTGAGTCGACTCAAAAGTCTCCTCTGCTCCCGCTTCCATTCTTGCCTCTCTTTATAGTCTCCTTCCTGCTCCCCTCCCGCTGTTCCGTTTCCCCTTCTCCCCTTCACTCTCAACCCCCCAGGGACAAGAAGCGGCACGTGATCACCACTCAAACGGAGCACAAGTGTGTGTTGGACTCGTGCCGGCACCTGCAGCAGGAGGGCTTCGACGTCACTTACCTGCCTTCGCCATTCGTTCTCTCACTTATCCCGCTTTCCTCCCTGTGTCCTCCCGTCTCTTTCCCCCCACCTCGCACCCCCGGTTCCTCATCCCTGTTCCCCCGTTTCCGTACCCTTCCTCCCCCACACCATATTCCCTTCCCCCACATCTGCTTCCCAGGGACAAGAAGCGGCACGTCATCACCACTCAGACTGAGCACAAGTGTGTGTTGGACTCGTGCTGGCACCTGCAGCAGGAGGGATTCGACGTGACTAATCTCTTTCTCTTTCCTCCTACCATTTCCCTCTCCTCTCTTTCTGCCTCCCCCTGTTCTCTCTCCCCCTTCCCTTTCCCCTCACAACCATGTAGGGACAAGAAGCGCCATGTGATTACAACACAGACGGAGCACAAGTGTGTGTTGGACTCATGCCGGCACCTGCAGCAGGAGGGCTTCGACGTCACTTACCTCCCCGTCGGCTCCGACGGTCTCGTCGACCTCGAAACCCTTAAAGCCGCGATTCGCCCGGATACAGTTCTCGTTTCGATCATGACCGTTAATAATGAGATCGGTGTCATCCAGCCGCTCGCCGAAATCGGGCAGCTCTGCCGGGCAAACAAAATCTTTTTCCACACCGACGCCGCGCAGGCGGCGGGTAAAATCCCGCTAAGTGTCGACGAGCTAAACATTGATCTTCTCTCGCTTAGCAGCCATAAGATCTACGGCCCGAAGGGGGTTGGCGCTTTGTACGTGCGGCGCCGCCCGAGAGTGAGGCTCGAACCTCAAATGAGCGGTGGAGGCCAGGAACGGGGTCTCAGGTCCGGTACCGTACCTACCCCGCTGGTGGTCGGGCTAGGTGCGGCGTGTGCGGTCGCCGAAGCGGAACTCGAACGTGATTACCGCCACGCGGAGAGGTTAAAGGAGCGGCTTTTAAAGGGGATAACGTCCCAGCTCGAAGGGGTTGTGATCAACGGCTCTGATGAACCCGGGAAGCGGTACCCGGGCAATCTGAACCTCTCGTTTGCGTATGTGGAGGGGGAGAGCCTGCTGATGGGGTTGAAGGAGATCGCAGTGTCAAGTGGCAGTGCGTGCACGAGTGCGAGTCTTGAGCCTAGTTATGTGCTGCGGGCGCTGGGAGTAGAGGAGGAAATGGCTCATACGTCCATTCGGTTCGGGTTTGGCCGTTTCACGACAGAAGAGGAAGTGGACAGGTGAGCAGCAGGACAGGGCATGACAGGTATGCGTGCGCTATGCAAGTGCTACGGTATTTAGGGCGTGTAACCTTTTTGATTTGTTGTGATTTTTCGGACCGTCCGTATATTTTAAAACGGACGGTCCTAATATCGAGAAACGGACCGTCCGATGTGACGTTTCGGAACCTTGCCACCGTCCGGAGAGAAACAACACACTTTTTGCCAGTACTCCGACTTCGCGACTACTGTAGTCTCGCGTAGCTCCCGCGACATTCGTAACCAAATACACAAGCTGTCGTAAGAAAAATTCGTTTGCCAATCCCTGCGCAGGTTTGCAGAGTGAAATTCGCCCGCCAATCCCTGCGCAGAACTGGCGGACCGTCCGTTTGGGTTTCGGACCGTCCGAATGCACGTTTCGGACCATTGGAAACGTGAAAAAAGTGTCATGACGGTTCGGAATGTTGGCGACGTCGCAAGGAGTTCCACGAACTCACTTTCGAATTGCTGCGACTCTGGTAACTCTTCGCTAATCCGGACGGTCCACATTTCGGACCGTCCGGAACAAAAATAGGCAAAATGGTTACACGCCCTTACCATACCAGCTACGGTATGAGCTAGTGCTATGTGCTGTGGGCGCTGGTGGTAGTGGTGGACGAGATAAGTCATACGTCCATTTGGTTCGGGTTTGGAAGGTTCGCAACTGAAGAAAGAGTGGGCTCAGAGGAGGTGGAGTGTGCTGTGGGTGAGAGTGGGGGCTGAAGGTAACAGGTCTAGTAGCAAGTCAGTAGCAGGACAGGTATGTGCTGTGGGCGCTGGGAGGGAAGATGGGGCGGTTTGAGTGCAAGTGGGCCGGTTTGAGTGCAAGTGGGCCGGTTTGAGTGCAAGTGGGCCGGTTTGAGTGCAAGTGGGCCGGTTTGTTTGAAAGTCTGGAGCCCAGCTATGTGCTGCGGGCGCTGGGAGAGGAGATGAAAGAGCAGGCGAGCAGCTAGAGTGGTATGCGCTGCGAGTAGTGGGTGTGAAGGAGGGTCCTATGTTATGGTTTTAGGTTTGGGGGATTCAAGTCCCATGAGGAGGTGGACAGGTGCGAATGGGCTGCTGAGTGTGTGCTGAGAGTGGGCTGGGTAGCACGGTGGGCATTGTCATTGGGATGGGTCTAGTTTTGAGTCGACTCAAAACTGTCATTGGGATGGGCGTGGGGATGAGCATGAAAGTTTGTATTCTTACTTCTTGCTTGATACCTTACTGTTGATACCATCTTGTGGCATTTTTCTTGTCCCGTTCCTGTGCAGGGCTGTGGCACTGACAGTGCATCAGGTGCAGCGGCTGAGGGACATGAGCCCACTGTGGGAGATGGTGCAGGAAGGGATTGACATCAAAACCATCCAGTGGTCGCAGCATTGAGCAGATGCTAGTGTTGGCAACATGTGTTAGATTTCAAGATGCTGGATGCTTCCACCAGATGGTGCGGTTGTTGCCATTAATTTGGTGCCGTTACAGAGTCTGTACATGAGGAATTACGGTGACATTCCTTTCCATGATCGTGTCCACCTTCATCGGATAGAGGTTTTACAGTTCGTCTTGACATTCTCAAGTGTTTTTTGGCGATCAAAGCAGCATAACGAGTGTGCTTACCTGCGATACGTCGCCTTTGCTTGGCAACTTCTTGTCATTGACACATCCTCGCCATCCTCGTCAACTGCAGCCACGTGCCCCTACGCTTCTGGCCATGCCAAGACTCCACGTTTGCTGATATTTCCTGGTTCGCGGACGGTCTGCGAGCCAAGCCTGGGAAGCTCGGGTGGAAGTGGTCCAGGGGCGGTGACACGTTGCGTGCTTGGATTGGAGATTCTTTCCAGAAGCTGGGGAGGTCTGGGCTTGTAGCGGAATCTTGCCTGGCTTGTGTTGTGTGCTTCCACACACAATCACGGGGGCCAGCATCATCTGTGGTTGTCGAATCCCGTTATTCCCCACCCCAAACCGCTCTCCACCGCATTTCTGCACATTTCCGTACCTTTTTACGCAACGTCGATGAGAATGGTTCATAGTGCTTTGGGTACTTTTCTGTGCGCCTACATACGGTTCTTTGCGGTGGTGGCTTGGCCTGTGAATGAACTACAGTACCCAGCTCAAGCGCATAGAGCTTGTCTAGTCTAGAACTTGTCTCATGAGACTAAGGGCGTGTAAGATCCCCGTGCACACAGAATCGGCCATCAAAATTAGGTGGCCGTAGCGAAAGTAACTATTTCGTGATTGGTTTGCGAATCTCGTCGATTTCGGCCATCAAAATTGTGATTTGATGGCCGAAAAACCCAGTCGACTCTTTTCCGACGCGTGGTCGACTTCAAATCGGCCATGCTGTCGACAACAGCTGGCCACAGTAAAAAACGAAGTCGCATACGCTGCTACAGTGAAAATTGCGACGTCGCATACATGTATGCGACGTCGTCGCACCAAGTCGGAAGAAAAGACAAACCGAAATCTTCCACCTCTGTTATTTCGGCCAGCAAATCCGTGTCATATTTGGAGGCCACATTGAGGTGGCCGAAAATTTGTCGGCCTGGTGACGACTCATCCGTCGACCTTCGCGAAAGCTTTGTCGACCAAAATGGTCGACAAAATTCAGCCAAAACGTGTGCACGGGGATCTTACACGCCCTAAGACAACTCTTCCTAGGTACCTCAGCCTGGGTTAGCTGGGGAGAGGCTGAGAGTTCAGCTTTCGTTCCACCGTGCTTCACGGCACCTAATCTGCTTCGGGGTAGTTCCTAGGCCCCTGTCCCGTTGCCTCTTCTCCTGTCATCTGCGTCATCTCCCATCCACCCAACTAAATTGTTCACCTACATTGCAGTTTCTTGGCAGCTTCACGCAACCATTCCGTCCATCCTTCGACCAGCACCGCCTCTTGCTCAATCATACGATCGCTCCCTTGCTCATCTCCACGCATTTTTTTACCTTCAAACCACGCAAAAACAACGGGTCTCGGACCATTTTGTCAATACCCCCCAGTTGGCGACAATCAAAGGGTGATTCACTTGGCGGTGGATTTTAGGGTTGTTAGTGCTCGCACAGGATGTGGAAGGCAGCAGCGAGTCGCCTGATCCCCGCCGCTCTTCGCGCGCAGCGGGGGGCGTCGTCGCATGCTAATGGCATTCGCAGCGCGCCGCTTCTTGGGCGACTAATGTCGTCGCAGGTGCGTGTGACTTCTCTTTACTATTCCTCTCTTCGGTTCCTGAGTCGGCGTCTCAAGCTCATATCTCCGCTAGCATCTTTATCGCCTTGTCTGGATTCTTAGGGTTTCCATTCGGACCTGGATCGGAGCATTGATATTGATACCCGATTTTGACATTTGATTTGATCTGGGTTTCGCACAGACGGGGCGTCTCGACGTTTGAGTTTGAGTGCACTGTAAATCACCTGTATGTTGCACGGACTGAGCAGTTACGTTGGAAAGTGTGATCCAGTGCTTTCTGTCGAATGGCTAACCCGTCGCTCGGTCAACTTCAGTCTAATAGCACCTGCTTGACGCGTCTGTCTTGCGTCACTCGCTTCAAGGGGTTACGGCACACCGGATACGTACCTAGCACGTCTGGATCTTTCTTTTACAGGCTTTCGTTTCAGCCTTTAGTCATCATTGGGGGCCATAGGTCATTTCCACCTCGCATCTCGTTTTCCGCTTAGCTTCCGCCGTTCCTCGCCTGAGATCATCACTCAAGTGACGCCTTGATGCTGGATGCCAGGATTCCAGTGGCGGAAAAAATGACAGCGTCGTACTGGGTCTCCAAACGGCTGAAATCTAGTGACGCGTGATGCGTGTCAGATTCGAGATTTTCATTGTTTTGGCGCCTTGACGCTGGATGCCACAGGCGCGAATCGGAAGTCTTTTGAGATTCAATTTAGTGTACTCTCGTCCTCATTCCGCATCCCTTCGTGTCATCTCCCGACCCTCATCCTCTCGTTGGTCCCTCTAAACGTACCCGATGATCGACCGCACGTACGACGCGGTTTTGGCCGGGGCGGGCATCGCTTTGATCACCCCGCACTCCTCTGTCTCGTTCCCGCATCGCTTTGTACCACTCTGTCATCAGGCGTACCCAGTGATCGACCACACGTACGACGCGGTGGTGGTGGGGGCGGGCGGCGCGGGGCTGCGGGCGGCGATCGGGCTGTCGGAGAGCGGCTTCAACACGGCCTGCATCACCAAGCTCTTCCCCACGCGCTCGCACACCGTCGCCGCGCAGGTGGGTCGCACACACACAGTCGCTAGGGTCGCACCCACTCACAGTCGTCAGGTCGCGCACAGTCGTCAGGGTCTCTGTGGCTTCAACACCTCCCCACGCGCTAACACACTGCCATTGATGCCTCAACACAGCTCTCTCAGTATCTCGCCCGCTGTTCCCATCCTCATTCCCCCCCCCCCCCCGCCCTCTCTCTCTCCCCTGATCCCCCGTCTTCCTCATCAGGGGAAAGCTGTCTGAATAGTCCCCCTCCCCCCGTACCACTTTCCCCCTCCCACGCGCACCTCTTCCCCTCTCCCCCCACGCCTCCGCACTCCGTGCGTGTATCAGGGCGGCATCAACGCGGCGCTGGGCAACATGACAGAGGACGACTGGCGCTGGCACATGTACGACACCGTCAAGGGCAGCGACTGGCTGGGTGAGTGGTGCAGTGCGGTGGGCGATGGTATGCGGGTGGTGTGAGAGCTGGAATGCTGTGGGGTGAGTGGGGATGGTTGAAGTGATGGGTTGGATTCATTACATGTGCGAGCAGGCCTTAAAGGCGGTGACAAACCTGGAGCACTACAGGCTGCGCTTCTCCTCTCCACCCCTTTGCTCTTTATGTTGCCCTTGTCTCTTTCTCCCTCCCTCCTCATTCAGGCGACCAGGACGCGATTCAGTACATGTGCGAGCAGGCGCCCAAGGCGGTGATAGAGCTGGAGCACTACGGGCTGCCCTTCTCTCGCACGGACGATGGCCGCATCTACCAGCGCGCGTTTGGGGGACAGAGCCTGGATTTCGGCAAGGGCGGGCAGGCGTACAGGTGGGTGGGGAGGGCGGGGTAGGCGTAAAGATGGATGGGGAGGGGCGGGTGGGCGTACAGGTGGGTGGGAAGAGGTGGGAGGAGTGATGCATGTGTGGCTGACCGTACAGGGCATGCGTTGCTGCACACACTGCACGGGTAGGCCATGAATCTTTTGAGGCGCCTCAAAACTAGCACGGGTAGGCCATGAAAGACAACACTCTGAAGAGACTAGTGTTGTTCACTCAACTCCTCCGCCTCTCCCTGTGTTCGTCTGCATGCCTCCCTCCTTCCCTCCTTTCAGGTGTGCGTGTGCCGCGGATCGCACGGGGCATGCGCTGCTGCACACACTGTACGGGCAGGCCATGAAGCACAACACGCAGTTTTTCGTGGAGTACTTTGCCCTCGATCTGATCATGGACAAGGAGGGTGAGTTGAGAGAGAGAGACAGAGAGAGAGACGTCTCAGAGCAGGCAGGCTACGTAGCGCAATCCCGAGATGGATTCACAGGAAGGCAGCCCACGAGTGAAGCACAACACGCAGTTTTTCGTGGAGTACTTTGCCCTCGATCTGATCATGGATAAGGAGGGTGAGTTGATGTCGGGACGTCTAGTTTCGAGACGCCTTAGGTAGGACACGTACAGGGAGGCGCACATGGCACCTTTTGGAATTTGGAGGTGTAACTCTTGCACATCTTGCACATCTTGCACATCTTGCACATCTTGCACATCTTGTGAGACGTCTCTTGTTGAGACGTCTCAAAAATCACCTTTTGGAATTTGGAGGTGTAACTCCAAATTTTGTGAGGCACAAGATGGCACATCTTTTGAGGCGCCTCAAAAGTCGTCTCAGTTCTTGAGCACTGGTATGCTCATGGGTTTAGGGTGCATGATGCATGCAAATGAGATTAGAACTGGGACTGTATTGTGAATTAACTTATCATGTATGTGTCTGTATCCTGAATGTGACTGTATTGTGCGCATCACTGTACCAGGAGCCTGTCGGGGAGTGATGGCACTGAACATGGAGGATGGCACTCTGCACCGCTTCCGATCCAACTCCACCATTCTCGCCACCGGGGTGGGTATTTTACTTCTAGGCGACTGGGGTTAGTGAGTCTTTGCTGCATTATTCTTTGCTTCTTTTCTCTATCATGGACAAGGAGGGTGAGTTGGGCTTATTCTTTGTTCTTTGTTACTGTCGGGGCGAGTTCTTAAAATGTATACGCTGCGGCTTTCCTTCCTTCCCCATCCTCCCTTCTTCCCTTTCGTACCCCCTGTCTCCTCCTGTGTAGGGCTACGGGCGCGCCTATTTCTCTGCCACATCAGCGCACACGTGTACGGGCGACGGTAACGCCATGGTGGCGCGAGCAGGGCTCCCCCTGCA